TGCTCTGTCCTGCGCCGCGCTGCTCAAATGTTTTTCTTTTTCTTTTGATTTTTGCACCATTCAATTCTTGGCCTTTTTTCCCTCTCTTTTTTCTCCCCTTTGCATTCCCCATATATATTTTGACTTTTTTTCCTCTTATTTTTTTCCATTTCTCAATTACTTTTTTTCTTATTTATTCATTTCTATGTTTTATCCCCCAGACACCTTTTTATTCCCCATCCCTTTTGCTTCACCTTTTCAAACTTGTATGGGGATTTACCAATGCACTTTTGCCTTTTTTCTTTCTTCTCTCTTTTGGGTTGGTTTGAGGAAATTGATTCAATTATAACTTCAATTTTGTTGTGTCTACTTAGTTTTTTTACTTTTCGTTGATGGCCACCTATCTTAAGTATTAGTAATTTCTATGTGTTTCTCGATACCAAATGTTGTAGGATCAGACGATTGTCCCGTGAGATTAGTAGAGATGTGCGTAAACTGGTCAGGACACTCACGAATATAAAAAAAATATCTGTTTGATAATGCCCTCATTTCTTGTTTTTCGTTTCTAAATTTTATTAAGAAACCTAAACATTTGACAACTATTTATATTTTATGTTTCATAGTTTTGAGAAAATATTTTCATAATTGTATATATATTTTGAAACAATCAAAATAAGTTTCTTGTTTCTTGTTTACATTTCCAATTTGTTACATAACATAAATCTAAATATTGTTTGTTGAATTCATGGGTGTTAGGGCTATACAGTTCTATTCTTCTTTATTAAAAATTAAGAAACGAAAACAAAAGACGATAATGTTACCAAACAGGCCCATAATAAGTCGTTACTAGACTTTGGATATAAGAATTAAACTTGTGGAGTTGACTTGGAGATGTTTCAAAAGTAGAAAATTGGTTGAGATATAAGTTGGAATGTTTTTTTCAAACTTGCTTGATTTTGTATCTAGACTTTTGGATATTTATTATATCTTGATTTTTAGTTGTTTTTTTTTATTTATTGGTTTGTTGATTGGAAATTGTATGATCTATTTTAATTCAATAAGGTTGGAATTGATTCCTTACAAAGTAGAAATTAACTTTTTTTTTCTTTTAAATGTAATAATTTTACTATTGTGGAATTTGAACTTAAAAACTCTTATTATGATGATTAAGGTAGATTAAATAATATTCTTAACATCAATCTTTATTTTTCGGAAACAAAATGATGAAAAAAAAAACAAAATAAAAGGGGGAGAGAGAAAAGAGAGAGTTGACTATAAATTCCTTTGTGTGCCCTCTCATCATCTCTCAATTGGAAGCCGATTGTAAACCCTTTTTTTTTTTCTTTTCTTTATGTTATTTGAAAAGTCAATTCGTTCTTATATATATATATATATCCATTATGGTTAATAAATTTTTTAGATTATTTTAGTTTGGTTCGTAAATTTTTAAAATGGTTCAAATTATTTCGTTTGATCTCTAAATTTTTAAAATGTTCCTTTTAATATTTCAACTTAGAAAAATGTAATTATTTTGGTCCTACTTTTATTTTGATTTTTTTTATTATTCAACAGTCGTGGCCCTTTGATCTCTATATCCCTACATCTGGGGTATGTGTATTATCCTCATACTCGTACTTTTATTTTGATTTTTATAAATTAATAATATAGTAATATAATAATTGACATATATTCTTTTCCTTAAGATTAGAAGTTCAAATCTTCGTACCTCAATTTATTGTATTTAATAAATAAATAAATATATATATTTAACTATATCCCTAATTGTGCGTCGTTTTTTACATTAATATCTTTTAACTAAACGAGATGTGATTTGTATATTATATAGAAGTTTGGCTAATTTAACACTTTATAGAATGATAAAAAAAGTTGACAATTAAAAAAAAGTAGAGTATATTAATTCAAGACGATAATATGCAGCAACTCCATATTTAAAAATATACGTAGAATCATGCTTTAACCAAGAGTTCAAACTCATAAATCTCTTGGTATCTATTTGTTAGGGATATATGTCAATTACCCGCTGAGCTATACTCGTCTTGACAATTATGATCTTTAAAATTAGATTACAACTAATATTTTTATTAAATTTAAGAGTTAAGCGAACACAACGAGCAATTTCCAAGAATTATATTAATAAGAAAGATACATATTAAATTACAATTTAGTCCATATAATTTAGTCTATATGTTTCAAACTTAATCAAAATGTTGTCCCGGTAATCTAAAAAAAAAGGTTAAATTTAGTCCTTATAATTTTATCGAACTTTGAATGACAGTGAGTTGAATTTCGACAAGACTAATTGTGCTAATTAACTATATTAGATGAAGGGAAAACCACACGTAATTTGTTGGGCAAATAAAAAACTGACTTATGAAAACTTTGCCAGACATAACCATGATATTAAATATCCGTCGACATATCTATCAACATTTTCATGTATTCATAGGTTTGATATCGACATGAGTGATAAATCGACATTTCCATCCTATTAAAAAAAATCGATAAAATATAAAAAATATCAACAAAGTGTCGTTAATATACATAATATTAATATTAAAGATTTTAAACATATTTAGATCAGAAAAATATCTTATTTTGTTAATTTAAATATTTTTTATGATTTTTTAATTTGATTAACTTTTTGTCATTCAAAATCTTCATCTCAACCAACCACAAGAACCACCAAATTGATATTTAAGAAACAAAAACCACAAGAAGCCTATTAAAAAAAATTTAAATTATAAGGATTAAATTAAAACAAAATAAAAACTGTATGGACTAAATTGAAAATTTAAAAATAGAGGGGGACTAAATTTGCAATTTAACGAAAGGGAAGAACGAATATTGGGGGCATTGGAAGCGAGTAGTGTTTGTCAAGTAGATTTGTAAAAAAATGGTGGGTCGATTTGGTTTCTACAATTCCTCCATGGATGCGACATTGAAGCTTCTGCCGTAACTGTAAAAGGAGAAGAACTGAGGCTGTGGGTCTCTCAATCTTCTTCCAAATCTCAGATTATCTCATCT